TTGATCGGTTCGGACAGGTCATGCAACCGCAGTGAGACGCACGGGTGCGTGCCACCGCCCAGAATCGGCATGTCCGTACCTGACGAGGGGGGAGGCGATCAACTGATGTCCCATGACATACTGAGTGCAATGGTGTGTCGAGCGATATCAACTTTTGGCTAGCCTTATCCCACCTTGTGATATACTCATAGTAGGTACCTCGTATTTACGAGCGAGCAAGCGAAGCGAGGTCTTTTCCATATAATCGGAAAAATATCAGCATTGAGCATGAGTTGCCCGGCTCAGCCCGGCCTGTAACGCTTTTGAGAGGCTTATATCTCATGAACCGGTGGACCGATTGGCCTCCGGTCTTTTCGTTGGGTAGCCCCATCCCTTCTACCACGTAATCAACTAGGTACTCTTGATACATCTACGTGGCCGTCGTGGCAGGTCCCACGTGGAAAGTCCAGGGCGTTTAAATTGTTCTGCTAAAGTAGCGCCTTTGAGAGGCCTACATCTTAGCAGCCGCTGAGGCGATTCATTTGCGGTAATTTTTGGTAGGGTAGCCCGGTAGCTGCATCCCTTCTACCAAGACGCTGCACAGTGCACACCTCCCACTACTCAACCCTCACTCACCTATCAACATTTTCAAATCCTGGAACGTCCAGAGCATGTTTCTGGCGAAGTAATGTCGTCGATATCGGCCGCGCCGGGGCGGCGGCGGTGTACCGGCGATGTCGGAGGGCGCCGGCAGCGCCAGCAGGGCCGGGGCGGGCGCGGGGGCGGCCGGCGACGGAAGGGCCGTCACGGTGTGCAGCAGTAGCCGCGAGTAGAGCTCGGCGGAGCGCGTGTCGACAGCGGCCGCCTCCTCCTCGGCGGCCGCCCGGCGCGCCCAGTCCTCGTCCTGACAGGCGCGGTGACGGTGAATTAGACCGACCTATCTATATCTATATACGGGCTTGAATTAGACTATCTGGATGGTGATTGGGTAAGGGGATGCTATATGTTAGCGGTGTCTATGCGGTGCGGTAGGATCAGGGCTAGGGAGTGGGGACGGCGACGTGGACGAGTCGGGTGGTTGCGACAATTTTGGCCAGCGAAAAAATAATCATACGCTGTCTGTGCTTTGAACTTATCACAGTCCACATTCGACAACAATCATGAACCTAAGCACCCAACCTTTAGTGAAAGTACGTCGTATGTATCAGATCACAGATGACAGCCCAACTCCAAAGGCCGCAGGCGACGGCTACCTCATTCACTTCAACACCCAAATACACGGACACGCTGCCCGCCACCCGTTCGGTACCTGAAACTTTGTGAGGAAGTGTTCGCGCAGCAGCCGGTCCAGCCACACCCACTCGGTCTTCTCCGTCTCCAGCAGGTGGGTGGTGATGTCGAAGTCGTCCAGCAGCAGCAGCCGGCCCACTCTGTGTACCACCATGCTGATCTGGGGAGGGCAGGCAGTCGACAATCACGGCACTTCTCGGACACAGATCAGTCATACGTGTGGATCGTGGGTCATCAATCACGGCAGTTATGAGATCGTCTCCGCTGACGGTCTAAAAAAAATATATTTGGAAGTTTGGAACAGTTGCTGCCTACCAAAGCATTTTAAATGCGAAAACGAGTTATCGGCATCAGGACCAGAAAAACATGAGCTCGCATTGCATTATCATTGATCAGCCCGGCTGCATTACCTCTTCCCGGTTATTGTATGCCAGCTTCAGCAGCTTCTTGATATTCTCTCCCTCAGATATGACGTCCACGCCATCCAAACAATCCATCGACATGTTCGCAATACAGAAACTGAAAAAGAACATGGATTATTTGTGTGAATTTCAAAGCTTTTGCCGGGACGTCTAAATTCGTCTAGTTATAACGCCATTATATCTTAAAACAATAAATGGTATTGGCCAAGAGGCAAGAGTCATTGTGACTGGTTATTATTATCGTGACACACCAGTTATGCTAAATTTTAAGCATTTCTACACTTGTGGTCACCCTACCCCATAAAAAACTCCTAAGAAACATGCACCCACTAATGGCACAGGTCCCCCTCCCCATGTCATTGCATCTGACCGCTACTTGTACCGGGCTGGGGCGCCGAGTCGTGCGGTCACAGCCCACCTGGAGAACTCGGGCCGCTCGTCGGTCAGCCGCTGCTGGTGGAGCACCTCGCGCTGCCAGGCGTCCATGTCGCGCGCGTAGCCGGGGCTCCAGAGCGGCACGGTGGCGGCCCGCGCGCGCCGCAGGTCCGTGTGCAGGTCCGGCTCGGTGAAGCCGGGCAGACGGTCGAGCAGGGCGAACTTGACCTCTGCGCACGAGCGCAGTCGGGCCGGCACCACGGGCAGCCGGTGGTCGGCCGCGCCGCCGCCCAGTCGCGGCCACTCGTCGGCATTGTCGCCGCAGGCGAGCAGGCCAGTGTCGCCGCTAACGCTCTCCGAGTGAGACTCGCAGTCCGTGTCAGACTCCATCGGCGGCTGCGGAACGAGGGCGTCTCTAGCTCGCAGAACGACCCAGGCCGGTCATACGGGGCGATCGAAAACCGTCTGAAATTGACTTTTTCAACCTGACCTTGACCTTAAACTTCTATAATGTCAGAAAGCCACATAAAACTTATGAATTTCTTGACCAAACTTGGTCAGAAATGTGTGTCACAATGTGTCACAAGACAGGTCATTTACATAGCTTTTAAACTGATGACCTCTTTTGACCTGGCCTTGACTGTAAGGAACACTGAATCAGGGGCTTAGCCAAGGGGGGGCCATAGGGGCCATGCCCCCCCCCCCCCCTGGAGCCCAAAAGGGCCCCCATCGTGGTGTCATAAGTACAGTAAGGGGCACAATAAAAGTAGAGTAAGGGCCCCTCGGGGCACTCCACTGGGTTCGCGGGGGCCTTTCGGGCCTGAGACCTTGCCGCTAGGGCCCTCTGGGCTCTCTTCATTGGTTATAAAAGGGCCCTTCGGGCCTGAGGCTTTGCCACTGGGCCCCTCGGGGCCCTCTCCATTGGGTTCGCAGGGGCCCTTCATAATTTTAAGGTAGTTAAGCAAATAACTATGTCATGAAATTAAGAAAATGTTGGGCCCCTTCGCTCACATGGGCCCCTTTCGGTCTGATTGGCCCCCCTGAGAAAAATCTTGGCTACGCGCCTGGCCCTGTCAGGCGTTCAGGGACCCCTTGGGGTCCTTAACATGCTCAGAGAGTTTTCCTGTAGATCAGAGGACCCGTCATGCGCGCTCAGGGGCCTCTTCATGCACTTAGAGGGCCCTGTCGTGTACTCAGAGAGCCTTTCTGTGGCTTAGAGGGCCCCGTGAAGCGATCAGGGGCCCCTCCATGCGCTCAGGGGGCCCTGTCGTGTATTCAGAGGGTTTTTTCTGTTTCTTAGAGTGCCCTCGTGTCAAGTTATCAGGGCTTACGAGGCTCTCATGGGCTGTAGGAGCCTTTGGCGGTCTGAAGGACCCTCATCCGACCTACGGGGCCCTCAAGACCGCCTTCAGAACCGGCTGAGCGACTCTATGAAGCTATTTGTGGGCCTATCTAGCAGGGACCCATGGACTGCTTACCCCTCAGTTCTAACATATTTTTCATTTTTTAAATATTTTTTTAAAATTTATTTGGGCCCCCTCCAAAAAATAGTGGATGAAATCCAATGACTTTTTGGATTTTGAGGGGGTTTACCTTGGGCCCCTGTAAGTTTGGCCCCGTCCTGGAGGAAATCCTGGCTACGCCCCTGCACTGAATAAAGTATACACTACTGGAATCACAATATATAGCTCTATATAAGCCAATTCTGAAGTATAGGTATGGGCCATTTTTCTCTCCAGTGAATCATGAATGCTGAGGTCACTGAAGGTCATCAAAGGTAAAATCACCAGGCCAAACTTTCCTGATTTTTATATTTCATTGTCTGCACACATTTCAATTTGAACCAAAAGAGCAAGGTATTTCTAGTTTGACTTTTTGAACCTGTCTTATAGGCACTTCAATGAAAAGCACATGCCACCTTCAACACAGGCCAGCTGAAAATGCCATTGCTATCGACAGTGCCAGCAACTGCATGGTCTGCAGCACCAGCAGTGTGGTCTACATGCCAAGGCCATGTGGCACCAGGGGCCAAGTCCGACTGGGCCCTACCACTGGCGATTACCTGCATGATCGGGTGGCCCAGTAATTGGTTCCTGGTCCATTGCACCTTGACCTTGACCTCATGCACTAGGGAGTAGGGATTCTATGTTGCGTTGCTAGGTACCTGTCGGTCTAGTTTGGATGGGGGCCGTGGGGATGGGATGCTTTGAGGAAAGGGTATGCACTCTGTCTGGGGATTTGGGTTGCTGAAGGTTGTAGTGACAATCATCGGTATTGGTAAGGCAGACGTAGCACAAGCGGGCTTACGCTGTGGTGTGAAGTGAAAGCAAAAATCGTGAAAACACGCTTTTTCTGTTGGTAGACTTCAACTTCAACCAGTTGAAGTTGAACTTGCCTCAGGTTAAATAGATCATAAGATAATCATTGGCGTAAGTTGGCCGCCAAATGATCTGATTTTCTTATAGGTACCTTACAATTTACCACGGTATATTTTTTTTTTTACAACTTAATTTACTTTGACCACGTTGTTTATTTATTTTTTTTCCTAATCCTCCTCACCCCCCCGAGCTTTTTTTGTGATTTCTTCGATCGTGTTCAATAGCGTTTGATGCACGGTGTGCACGGTCATGTTTGATGCTTCGGTCAAACAGCTGCTTTTGGAGAGGGGCATGAAGGGTGCAGTTATTTTTTTACATCTTAGTTTTTGTTTATGCGTTTTTAGACGTTTCTAGGCGCACTATTGTTGAAGTTATACAGGCCTACACTCTTGCTTCAGATTTCTTGCGGGGAGGACGTGGCAAGAACAGCTGATTGACTTTCTAGTGGTGACGTGGCGGTGGAAGACATCTTGGATCTTTAAGTTTTTGGTTTCAGTTTTGTTTAATTTCAATTCGTTCATCATTTATAAAATCCCAGTGCACAACGGTATGTAAAATGAAGCCGGGAAGGCCCGGTAAACGGGTGAGGGCTGATGAATCTTTTTTCGATCAAGGAAACAATGAAAACTCCGGGTCGTACCTCAAAATCAAACTCCTCTCGGGGAAAACACTTAAATCCAGAGGCTGGCCATGGGTGCAGTTAGGTGTTAGAGGTGTCCTGGGGGATGTTGACAAGTTGGAAAAGGCTAGTTTTTTGACTGATGGATCTTTGCTCGTCAAAACGAAACATGCTCTCCAAACTGAAAAGTTTCTGAAAGTTAGGAAATTTGCAAATGAGGACTGTGAAGTATTGAAAGATGAAAGGCTGAACACATCACGGGGCACTATTCGTGCATATGACTTAGAAGAACTTAGCGAGGACGAGGTGGTCCAGTGGCTAAAGGACTTTGGGGTTGTTGGAGCAAAGCGCTTCACCAGGAAAGTGAATGGACAAACACAAGGGACCCCAACCCTGCTACTTACCTTTGACAGACCATCCTGCCCAACAAAACTGCAAATGGACTATGTGACATACCACGTGCACACGTATATACCAAACCCCCTGCTGTGCTACCGGTGCGGCAAATTTGGGCATGCTCAGGAGCGATGCACTAAAGACAAGGTATGTCTAAACTGTGGACAAATGCCTCATGAGGGAGAATGCACGCCCCAGTGCATCAACTGCCGACGCACTGATCATGGGTGTCAATCTCATGACTGTGAAACATGGCAGAAAGAGAAAGAAATATGTAGGATCAAAGTGGAAGAGGAGGTATCTTTCAGCCAAGCCAGGAAACTGTATGATGACCGCCATGAGCCCCCTGTTCTCAGAAATTATGCTGCCACTGTGCGCACTCCACATATTACTGGAAGGCAGGAGGATGAGGAGTTGAAAGGAAAGGTAGAAAAGCTAGAGAAGAAGGTAGATGAGATGATGACATTGCTCAAAAAACTGACTGAGTCGCAGATCACAGAAAGTACCTCTAAAGGTGCTGCTAGTACAACAGACACAGTACGTGTAAAGGAAACCCAGAGGGATGTATTACAGAGATCGAGAGGTGATGAGACAATGGGAGATGCTACAACAGACAGTGATGAAGGGGAGGTGAATGATACGAGGAAAACTCATGAAATTACGCAACCCATGGAAAGAGATGAGGGAGACGAAATGATTCAGACATGTGACTTGACACAGACAATAGACACAGTGAAAAAGACCAAAGATGCTGCCAAATGGCAGACTGTACAAAGGCAAAAGGGTTTAGGACGAGGAAAAGGCAAAACCAAACCACAGGTATCTGCTTGTCCAGATACCATCCCCCCCGCTCCCCCGCTTGTGAGAGCAGGCATATCCAATGAAAGAGCAGGGGACAAACCCATGACAAGAAAGCAGTCATGGGTAGATATTTCACAAGCGGCATCAGACAACTGATTGGAGTGAATAGTATATTCACTAGTAGCTAGTTAGTTTTTCTTTTCTTTAAAAAAACAAAACAAAAAAAAAAAACAAAACAAAAAAACAAAAAAACAAAAAACAAAACAAAAAAACAAAACAAAAAACAAAAAAACAAAACAAAAAACAAAAAAACTTCTCTAAACTCTAGAGGCAAACACATACTACACCATGGTGAAAATAATGCAATGGAATTGTAGAGCATTGATTGGAAAATGGGCTTCTGTCAAACCCTTCCTTATGACCCAAACATGTGATGTTTACTGTTTACAGGAAACTCACTTCCTTCCATCAGATGAATATGATTTTAACTTGCCGAATTACACAAGGTATGATGTTTTTGGCAATGATGAAAGGAGACAGGGAGGTGTGTGTATATATGTTACTAACAGGATTCCTCACAGACTGATAACTGTGAACACCAACTTACAAGCTGTGGCCTGCTCCATACGAATGGGCAGCTCAACCATGCACATCTGTTCTCTTTACCTACCCCCCACTGAACCTTTACAATATGAAGAGTTGGAAAGTCTGATTAAGCAGCTCCCGGAGCCCATGGTTATCTGTACGGATGCCAACAGTCGTCATATGCTTTGGGGTTCGGATCGATGTGACCGAAGGGGAATGATATGGGAACGTTTGATCAGAACTTTTGGACTCAATGTTCTCAATGATGGTAGTGCTACTAGAATTGATGATTACACTGGGCTGTACTCCCATATCGATCTGACAGTATCTTCAGGATCAGTCGCCCCCCACGCAATGTGGATGACTGAAGATGATCCTCATGACAGTGACCATTTCCCAATTTATATAACACTGAATAATGTTGTTGACCCTTCACAGGACTCAGACATTTTTTATGGATGGAACTTAAATAAAGCAAACTGGAATGAATTTAGAGAAAAGTGTACACTCAACTATGATGATCAACTGGGAGTAGAAAACTGCAAAGTTATGACAGACCTTATTGTCTCAGCAGCAACAGAGACAATACCTAAGAAAACTGGACATGCAAAGTACTGCTGTCCTTGGTGGACAGATGAGTGCAAGAAAGCGATTACAGAACGGAAAAGGCTATTAAACCGATTTAGGAGAAATAGAGAGGTCCCAGGACTATTACTTGAATATAAAAGAGCAAAGGCCAAAGCCAGACAGGTTATTAGGCAGGCCAAGAAAGACTCCTGGCTTAAACTCCTTAGCCTCTTCAATTACCAGACCCCCTTACCCAGGTTGTGGGAGATACTGAGGAAATTCACAAGGAAAACGAGATACAACAGACCTTTACCCGTACTCAGTATAGATGGACGTATTATCGATGATACTTTTGAAGTTGGGAATACACTTGGACGATACTTTGAAAGCATCTCCTCGCAGGAGAACTACTCAGAACATTTTCGTACACGAGTTGATGACATTATTAGAACTATGCCTGATTTCCGTTCTAACAATGCTGAATGCTACAATGACTTATTCACCTTACCTGAACTGACAAACGCCATAAAACGATGTGGAAATACGTCTATAGGACCGGATAGACTGCATTACGCTTTTTTTAAACATATGGGGAATACTCAATACGGAGAACTTCTTAAGATGTTTAACGCAGTCTGGACGGAAGGTATTTTTCCGACAGACTGGTCACATTCATACGTGGTCCCTATCCTGAAACCTGGGAAGCCGGCTTCCAACCCTCAGTCATACAGACCAATTCAACTTACCTCATGCATGGGTAAAATCATGGAAAGAATGATAGCTGAAAGGCTCAAATGGTATACCGAAAACAAAGGAGTGCTATCGAAATACCAGTGTGCCTTCAGGAAAGCACGATGTACGGTCGACCACATTATCAGACTGGAATCAGAGATACGACATGGATTCCTCTACCACAAATATACGTTGGCAGTATTTCTGGATTTTAAAAGTGCTTACAATTTAGTGTCTACCCCTGCCCTCCTTCTAAAGATGTATACATTGGGCTTCCGTGGAAGACTGATGAAATTTGTGGAAAACTACCTGAATGGAAGAACCTTCCAGGTGAAGTGTGGTCGATTATCACAGATTTTTGAACAGGAGAATGGAGTCGTCCAAGGGGGAGTTGTTTCGCCGATACTTTTTAACCTGATGATAAATGATATTTTTGAAGGTATTTCAGATGAGTTCTCCTATGCTATGTATGCAGATGACTGTGCAATTTGGTTACAAGGAAGGCATCTTCCACAACTAATAACAACCATGCAAAACGCACTTGATTCCTTGGTGGAGTGGGCAGATACGTGGGGATTTACTTTCACGCCTACCAAATGTAATGCAGTGATATTTGGACGATATATGAAAAGAACTGAATTAGATCACATTTCCCTACTACGGATTAAAGACGAACCAATTGCATACTGTGACAATGTAAAGTTTCTTGGAGTGTTTCTGGACTCCAAGTTAAACTTGAACAAACATATCCAGTACGTTCGAGCCAGAGCATTAAAACGCATTCCCATATTGAAATGCATATCCGGACGTGAATATGGTGCCGACAGAACCATTCTGTTGAGGATGTACAAATCCCTTATACGTCCCATCCTAGAATATGCCTGTCAGGTCCTTGATGGACCAGCAAACAATGCAGTGCACTCCCTTGAAAGCATACAGAACGCGTGTTTGAGGGTAGCTACAGGAGCATTGCGGACTTCTCCGGTAATGGCACTGCAGGTTGAGTCACATGTACCGCCACTCTTCCTACGACGTTGGGAGATGACTGTCAGATATGCCCTAAAAGTGACAGGATACGATGAACATCCATGTCGAGACTACATTGACGGGACCTTTACTCTACCTGACCTAGAGTGGGGATATATTAAGCGAATATCTGGATTCCCCTTCTATGAACGTCTGCAACATGTCGCCCGAAACCTTCGGATAGTTCTTCCCAATGATGTGACGCTTAAAGCCAGTGCTTACCCTGTATGGCAGCGACACCAGTGTGACGCACATAAACTAATTGAACAGCAGAAGGCTAATTTGGAGAGATGTGATGTTTTGCAGGCCTTTGAAGAGTTTAAGGGTACACACCCTGGATATCATTTCCTTTACACTGACGGTTCGAAAAGTGAAAGGGGCGTGGGATGTGCTTTCGTGCACGGAAACATGCAGTATAAAACGAAACTGAAACGTGACTACTCGATTTTTACAGCTGAGTGTGTTGCTTTGCTCCAAGCTGTACATTATGTCCAACATAACCAACTGGCAAACAGCGTCATTTGTACCGACTCCCTCTCGCTGCTATTAGCCCTGCAAACAAATGAAAGTAACCACCCTATGGTTACCGACATTAAGGATACTTTGCATTGTCTGAAGGAACACAATCTGCGGTGTGTAATCCTTTGGGTCCCTGGACACTGTGGAATCTACGGGAATGAACAGGCAGACCTTCAAGCAAAACGGGCTGTTTTACTAGATAGGACCGAGGAGGAGTATGAAGTGTCTGTGCAGGAATATGTGTCTTTTATCCGTGCAGCATGTTTTGATCAATTTAATAGCATGTGGGTAAACGATACTCGCCAGACAAACCTTAAGAGCATAAAGCATGTTACGGGGAACTGGGTGTCTTGTCGCCGGAATGTCCGACGTGAGGAAATAGTGTTATGTCGACTGCGGCTTGGACACACCAGAATCTCGCACTCGTTTATTATAGACCGTGATGTGCGACCAGAATGTAGTACCTGCGGCCAGTACGTGACAGTGCAACACATGTTAATTGAATGTCCGAACTACGCTGACCAAAGAAGACATCTCAGTGTACTGTGCCGGCACCATGGTGCGCCGATGGAGCTGGGTACTCTACTTGGTGACTCATACCCTGATATTACTGACGCTTTGTTTAAGTTTCTACACGATAGTGAACTGTTTAAGAAAATTTAAGATTATATTGTTTATTGTATGTTTATGTTATGTGGCTGTGATATGTACAGTCTTTACCGTTTTGTTTATTTTAGTGCAAGTCTCTGTTGTTGTCTACTATGCTGTGTATGAGTGATAATGAGCTGTGATGTATGCTGTGAAAGTATGATATGGATGAGAATGAGATGAATGAATGAATGAATGAATGATGAATGACAGTGAATGGAAAACATGAGAGTGGAGTAGAAGGAGTAGAGATTTATAACAATGGTAAATAGCTGCTACTAACTCGGTGATTTGCTTCCCCCTCCCTCCCCACCCGCCACGGCACTCGCGTACACTAAACCGCTACAATATATCGGTACTGACAGTCGCACACACACATATTCAGACTATATCAGTACCGTGCACAATCAGTGTAGACCACATTGCTGTGTGCGATAGGCCGAGCTGAAACACAGCGCGCTCCTCTTACAGGATAACAGAGGAACATATGTTTACTCTATATACTCTGATACGTTTTTGGTATATACGCGGATATGTTGATCATATGTGAACGATTGGCGTGATGGCTGAGTGCAGGCCTTATGAGTATGAGCTGATGTTAAACTTGTGAAATGTATGATGTTTGTTTTTCTTTCTCTTTAATTTACTTTATTTTTATTTTTAGTTAGTGTAGTTTGACCAATCACTAACATCTAACTACGGCAATACCAACCTAAACTGATAAATCCTAACTGGACAAATCCTGGCAACGCATTTCCTTGTCCCATGGATCGCTTAGTTCCATTCCCTGGCCATGACAAGAAGGAAGAGAAGATGTGAAGACAACTTCTGGACGCTCTGAGCCCAAGAGGCTATGCGCCCTACACCAAAACAACAACAACAACAACTTATACAGGCCTATTTTACAGCTATTTTTGATTCACAAAACTACTGCAACTTTCAGAACTTTTTCTTTGCATATTGACATTTTGGTGGAATTGGAATGCATTGAAAGATTTTTATTCTTAAATCTTGAATGCCAATATAATAACAATGTGAATCGAGCCACACTCGTAGCGAAATATTACGAATCAATGATAACAGTAACCGGCAGAAAATATGTAGTTACCGCGATTGTATAAGAT